TCACATCACTACAGGCTGAAACACAGCTATGTCTGCAAAACAGGAAGGTGTGTGAGGGATAATGTCTGTCTTTAGGCACTATAGTATGTCAAAACCACAAAGACAATGTGCAGCAAAAGATAGCTCCATCATAACCACTTTTTTATGATTGTCTTCACAGACCGAGATAAACGAAAAGCTGCAAATACAGGAAGAGGCCTTTAATGCACGAATAGAAAAATTGAAAAAGGCCTGAGGACTCGGTACAAAGAGAGTGATGCTAAACTTCACAGAAACAAACAAAACCAGTCAGAATAATAGACCCTCTAGAGCATCGTATCTCCTATATTTAGTTTAGAGAGGAAAACCAAACCCCACTTTTTATTATCCTAAGTAATTAGAAAAGTATTGGCCCCAATTTTGCTATCTCCTGTCTCATAACAGCCTCTGAATTTATTGCACTGAGTGTAATAAGAACATTTTGTCTACAAGAGTTTGGAGAATTATATATAAAAACACAATTACTTTTACAATCCTCCTTTGACATTTTGACTAATAAATGTTATCCATCTTCAAGGAGAATGAAGCCAACATTTTTAAATAAAGAAAAAATAATAATGATTTTATCCATATTGACCCAAATGAACTGCCATGTTAATGGAGCACCATGAACAGATACCACTAACCACATCACTGAGGATAAAACTTGCTAAACAACAGCTATTCAAATGCATATATTAGGGTTTTTTCCTTAAATCGTTTGGTTTTCTTATTTAAACGTTTCAGTGTGAAACCAATTTTCTGAAATTATATAATGCAGTTTGAAGCACTTTAATTTATTCTGCACTGTATTTGTTATTTCTAATCTTGTTACTCTCCCAGGAGAATACATGACCTATATAAAAAGAAGCAGTGTATAAATGGTTATTAAAGACCAACCTATATATAGATTGTAAAAATCTTAAATATAAATCAAACTCACAGAGCTCTTAAAGTTAACCATTGTATTGCAGTAGAGTGGTTGAAAACATCTCAAGCCCTTAAGTACATTTATTAAAATACAATTTCAAAAGAAAAATAACCATTTACTAACGGATTGTCCCTAGTTGGAAAAATTAAACCAATTACAACTTAGGCCCTTTCCAAATGTCTTAGACTTCAGAGTATTCTACAAGGGAGAGTGTTGCTAGAAGGGACAGTTCCTTCAAAAAGTTTCCAGTTCATACTGGAACCAAATGCACTTGCATCTTGGAGACACTTGATCGAATATGTCGTGTCTATGTGCTAACCTCCGGCTATAACCTTACCCTCTCCATCAGTGCCAAAGAGATTACCCAAAATGTGTTTATTTGGGGCACAGACAGATATGACAGCATTTGGTGATTTTCGGACTACACTGATCAGCAATGTAAGAGGGGCTCTTAAGATAAAACCGTGTTTATTGGTCACGCAGTTTCAAGTCTGGAATGTCTGGAGTTGTGCCGAGATGGGTTTTTCCCTTGAACTGTCCTGCTAATTGAAAATGCTCATGGCCATAGGAGAGCACTAGGAGGGCTCTCTTGTCCTGATTCCATCAGTCTGTTCTCCAGGGAAAGCAGGTGAAATTAGAGAAACCACAAACCGGAATAAAAGAGCTTCTAGAAATCACCAAACAGTGACTTCAAATGAAGTCATTGGCACAGAGTGGACCTGCATTTCTAATAAAGAGTGCTTATTGTGAACAAAGGTACCAATAGTCCAAAACTGAATAAGAAATACAGTAGAATCCCTAAACACTACACAGAGACAATATATGTGTGCCTGAAGCACATGATCATGCCTAAGGCATGCCTCCAAGTCTGATACTGGCTTTCCCTGTGACTAGGCTGTGTCTTTGGACAGGCTACTGAGCCTCTATTTGCTCATCTAGGAAATGGGCATAATACTTATTTTTGTGATAGTTATGAGGATCCAATAACTATAATTGAACTGATGTTTTCTCGTAAGGTTTGGTTTCTATTTACCTCCTAGGATACCTAAAAAGCCACTGTGCATCTCTAATACCCACTGCCCAGTTGTTGAACAGCCTCTGTGCCAGAATTCCTGGTCTTCCCTGTTGCTCCACTGGCTTCTCCATGACTTCCCACAGTACCCACATGGCCACCCAGCTGGCCTTCACCTTTCACGTTGGCGCAGCCCAGGGCTGACTGTGGGAGCCTAACTTTAATATCTAATAATAAAAAGGGAAAGAATAATCATAGTGGCAGTAGCTACAAGTTTTAATTCACAGTCTTTGCTCTTTTAAATTAATTTCAAATTGATAAAGAAATGTATGCACCTCCTCTCATTTATGTAAAAAAAGAGTGTACACGGTGGAATTGCTGGGTTAAAAAAGTTCTCTCACCTACAAGTGGAAACTAATCAAAAAAACAAACAGGCAAGCAAAATATAACCAAAGACTTTGAAATTAAGGACAAACTGACAGTAACCAGAGAAGGGGTGGGACGGGATAATGGGAAGGGTTTTCAGGAACAACTATAAAGGACCCATGGACAAAACCAAAGAGGGGTAGGATCAGGGTGGGGAGTGGGGGTGGCTGGGGTGGGGGGAGTGGTGGGGTTAAAATGGAAGCAACTGTACTTGAACAACAATTAAATTTTTTAAAAAGTGTATACAATGGAAAATAACTTACCCTAGCTAGCTACCCTCATTTCTCTCCCTACAAGGCACCTATAGCTTCCTGTAAGTTCTTAGAAAAGTATTTTTTGCCTGTTTAAACAAGTGGATGCTTGTACATCATGGTCTATTTCTTTTTAACACAACTTAAATTATTATTTACATTGCCTTTTTAAAATCAAATAATGCACCTTAGAGATAATTCTCCATCAATATATTAATGACCATGTATTTTTTAACTCCCACAGCTTTCTTAACTAGCCAGTCCTATTGATGAAAATTTCATCGTTTCCAGTACTTCGCTCTCACAATGCTACATTGCCACTTTTGTGAGCATGATTATACCTGTATGATGAATTCCCAGAGGAATAAATTTCTAGGTCAAATTTTATTTGTGTTTCCAATTTTGATAGATATTGTCAAAGTGCCTTCCAAAGTTGCTTTACCAATAATTTGTGAAAAAAATCCTTCTTTGTCTACATTGTTACCAATTTCATGCATTACTCAGTTTTTTATATTTAATGTTCAGATAGATAAAAATAATGTCACACTGTTGTTTTAATTTGCTTTTATTGTTTTACTGTACATGGACTGAGCACCTTTCATATGTTTATAAGCAAATCATTTATATGTATACTTAAATTATATATATTAATTTTCCTAATAACCCTAAGAGATAGATATTATTAGATTCATTTTATTTATAAATTATGGAGCCTTAAGCTTAAAGAGATTATTAACTTGGACCAAGTTACACAATTACTAATTGATGGATCAGGTCTTGAAAGCCAGGTCTGACCCATTTTACAGATGAGGAAACTGGAACCCAGAAATTTAAGTAATTTGTCCATGATCACAAAGCCAGTAAATAGTGGAACCAGATTTGGAATTTAGATCTGTATGATCACAAAATCCACTTACTTAACTTTTATCTTCATCTAGCTACCTCATAGTCAATATGAAACAAAGTGAAAACTGACCTTTTTGTTATTAGTTATAATAAGGGAACAAACTTATTTAAATTGTTAACATATTATTCAGAAAATGTGTGCAAGGATGGAATGTATCACCCAACTTCACTCATTCATTTATTTATTTTTACACTATGTATTCATTGAATACCTACTATGTTCCATGGCATTTAGTAGTGAGCCCAATAGAAATGATCTCTACCTACTAATCTAGTGGGAGTGACAGCACAAGTTTCAGGGAATTTAAGTGTTGAACAAAGAAGATGGATCTGGTCTAGAATATCAGGGAAGCAGCCTATGAGTTTTGAAACGGGGCTGTGATCTGAGGGATAGGTAAAATTTAGACAGAAAAAGGTGAAGGAAGATGGATTTCAGGCAGCAAGAAGAGCATGTGCAAAGTCCCTGGGACACAAAATGAGTCCGAACAATTGCCCACGGCCAGAGCTTTTGTAAGGTGTTGTAGACCACACACAGGTTTTATTTTTACCCTAAAAACAATGGGAATTTGTTGGTGAATTTTAAGTAGCAAGTGACACCAGATTAGCATTTTTAAAAAGGCCATCTCCCTGGTGCCAGGATGTCTATCCATAGAGATGTGGGAAAAAATATTCCCATTAAAGGATTTCTACTGTTAATGGTGCTATAGTTGTACACCTTAGCAATTCCAAGAGCAGGAGAAATAAAGAAAAATGTTGACTTTGTTAAAGTCACAGGATCGGGTCTCTGGCACAAAGACAGCCCTCTGAAGGGCCGATTAAAAAACAATACCAACCTATCTCCTAGACAAGTAGCAACCTTTCACTTATCATCCACAGTAAGACATCTTTCTTCCATTTGCAGGAATAATTTAGGGTGTTTTTTGTTCTCACCCTCAGGGTAAATTTCAAAGAGTAAGTATATTCATTATGTTATGAACAAGCCACAGCCTGCCACCATTACAGGTATTTGCAGGCACTATTGCACCTAAATATAGCTAAGGAGTCATTTTCCCAAAATCCAAATATAAAACCCCTATTTCTATCCTCCATTTGATTGGAACCATTCAACCATCCTGGTAGATAATAAGTTTGCATGTTCTTAGATTGCATTTCATTATGCTTCAGTTCCCCTAGAGAATAAACTCGCTCCTTTTCCAACAATTGTAGAGGAGAAATGCTTCTGACATCTCAAATTTCAGAGTTTCAAGAAGACGTCCCTCTTCTAGACATCAAAGTCTTTTTTTTTCTGGATATTGATTTGTTAAATAAGAAAAGTCATGACCCGTCTGTGGCAGCCAAAATACCTCTTAATTCAAGTTTCTTAAGCAAAAAATATTCTAGACCCGAATAATACCATCTTGTTGGAAATCCAATTCTGAAACAGAGAGAGAATACTAAAAATCTCTTTTGCTTTTAGGATTCCACCCGTTTTCATGGAAATACCAGCAGTGGACATCAGCTTAACATTTTTTGTCAGAACTGCCAAAGAATGTTGTGTTATTTTATTTTATATTTGGCTCCAGACAATGTTCAGTGTATATATCTCCAATGGTCATTTTGATGTTTGTATCTCCTTTTTAATCTAGTGTGCAGTTTATTCTGGATATTTTCTAGGCAGTGAGATGAAATAAGATATGGTTCTTGACTTCATGAAGCTCATGGAATTGATAAAGTTCATAGTCTAGGGTCAGATGATAAGCAAGTGAATCAATAATGTGATCTTAGATAACAAATAATGCCAATGATCAACACAAAGCCAATGGGGTAAAAGGTTCTGGGATGTGGAAGGGCTACTTTACCTAGGGTCCTCCAAGAACCCTTCTTGTAAGAGATGACTTCAAGTTGACCAGAATGGAAGGAACTAGCCATGGGCCACACCATGGTACACCATGTTCCAGCTAATGAAAATGGCAAGTAAAGTGACGTTGCCAAGTAGAGCTTGTGATCACTCAAAGCAGCTTTCAGGGAAAAGGGCCTGACTCCTGGAAAATAACCAGACAGGTTTTTATCTCCAGACCTTCACATTCCTAATCTAGTGCTGTTGCCATTCTATTGTTTTGGCATGGTCATATTGCCTTTTCCCCCCCAGAAAAATGCAGAATTATAGCAATAAAATGCTTATCAGTATAACTCCCAATCCTAAATAAGCCCACCTGCTTAAAAGAGAATCTTGGTCCAAATCTCTTTTACAGGAGAATTCCAAACAAATTATGTAGGTACTCCACTCCAGAAAAGGAGGAAAATAACTCCCACTCATTATATGTGGGCTGTGCATAGCGACTTCTCACCAAATACAGTATGGGAAGGCGGAGGGGAAGAGTGCCTTCACAGTTAAGAAACCTGATCAACACTACTACTGCCAGATGATCAAGGTCAATATCAATAGTCATAAATCATGTTGATGGCATGTCCACTTGATATGAGATCATGAAAATAGTGCTTTAGCTCTGTGATCTTCCTACCAGAAATCATACCCCCAGTCTAATCATGAGGAAAAACATCTGGCAAATTCCAGTGGAGGAGCATCCTAATATATACCAGATCAGCACTCCTCAAAACTGTCAAGGTCATCAAAAACAAATCAAGGATGAGAATGTGTTGCAGCCAAGAGAAGCTTAAAGAGACATGACAACTAATGGAATAAAAAATCCTGGGTGTAATTCTGGAAGAAAAAAAGGAAATCTAAAGAAATATGTATAAATTATAAATGTTAATAAAAATGCATTCAAACTGGTTCATTAGCTATACCAAATGTACTATATTAATATAAGAATAGTAATAGTAGCAATTAGTAATAATAGGGGAAACTGTAGTGGGGGGGAGGGGGACAATAAATGTGAATTCTGTACCATCTATTCAATCCTTTTGTAAATCTAAAACTGTTCTAAAAATAGTTATGAATTTCTAAATATCTTGATGAAAACAAACCAAAATTAGTTAGAAGGGAAGATACCCACCATCAGATTTTGCCATTGATGGAATGCCACCCCCTTATAAACGACACATGAAAAATCAGATATAGCCATTTTGAACACTAGAGTAGAAAAGATATGCTTATGAAGAAGGATAAAGTGATAAATAATTCCATTTATTTATTTATTTATTTATTTAAATTGTATTTTACTGTTTACACTATTATAATTGTCCTTTTTTTCCTTTTGCCCCCTCCACCCAGCCCCCCTACTCCCTCAGGCAATCCCCACAGCATTGTCCATGGCCGTGGGTCATGCACACGTGTTCTTTGGCTACTCCCTTCACCTTTTAAAAGAGGAAATTGCTAACCTCATCAGTCCTGGGCCACTCCTTATTTTCTCAGTTCCATGGTAGAAATTTGAGCTTTCTATGAGCCTGTATAGCTCATAAAAGCAGAGAGTAGATGGTTTCCTTTAAATACCTAACTCTCTCAATATAACATGATAATATGGTCTATCAGCTAAAGAAACAAGACCAATCACTGTGTGGTAGAATGGTCTATGAAGCTGCTCTCAGTGAGGTAAGTCTCCTTGGGATCCTACTAAGACTTCTCTAAACAAGCATTCCTTGTCTTATATTACATCAAAGTTGCTTCTTAAATTGATAAGTGGGCGGGTGGGTGGATGGATAGACTGAGAGAGAGAAAGAGAGATCCAGAAACTTGAAATTAGGCTTGGTAGTGATTACCTGCCATCCTATTATGAAAAAAAAAAAGTTAAAATAGCCTGGTTATTAATCTTTTAACTCAATATAAATCTCAAAATTAAATGGGGAAAATATAGCCCCTGTTCTTTCACTGGTGAAATTTTATGTTAATGCACTGTCAGTACATGGTTCTCATAATACCAGGGCCCAAATTTAACCAGAATAAAATGAACATAATCCTTATCTTCCAGTCCCATACAATGACCAACAAAAATGGTTCTGGATTTTATTTTTTATCTTTTGCCGTATAATAATTGATGTCATTATTTTTCATCCAATCTCCTTTTGGGTTGTTACTGGACCTATGGATTAAGATTAAGTTAAAGTCTGCACTGAATGTAATAGTAAAAAATTCAAAATTAAAGAACGAAAAGTGTTCTCACTCAACCTTGTTTGATCCACAACTTGTTACTTCTGCTTAGAAAACAAATGAGTGAGTGAACAAACATAATGACCCAGAAGATTCAATTCTAAAATAGTAATAGCATAGAATCATGGTGCTAAAAGTCTGAAATATCATTTAATTGAATCCTTTCATGATGAAGGAACTGAGGCCCAAGAAAATGAAGACTTTGTGATCACTCTGCTTTTTTGTGGCAAGAAATAGAACCCAGATTGTCCTCCCTCCCTTCCTCCTTTCCTTCCTCCTTTCCTCCCTCCCTGCCTCCCTCCCTCCCCGCCTCCCTCTGTCCCTGCCACCCTCCCTCCCTCCCTTCCTTCCTTCCTTCTTTCTTTTCCTTCCTTCCTTCCTTCCTTCCTTCCTTCCTTCCTTCCTTCCTTCCTTCCTTCAAACATGCTTAGATTTAACAAATGTTTACTGAGCATCTTTTGTGGATCAGAAGCTATGCTAATGTTCATAAGCAAAAACAATCACTGACATCGTAGGAGTCTAGTGGGAGAGTCAGGTTTTAATCAATCACACAATTATAAAAGAGTAAGTGCAACTAGTGCTATGATAAAAGAAAAATTATGCTCTACAGTGAGAGCTTATTTAGAAGAACCTGACTAAATCGAAGAAGGTTCCACTGGGAGAGTCATACTTAAAGGATGAATAGGTGCCAACTAGGCAGAGAGGGGAGAAAAGAGTTTTCAGGCACAGGAGCAGCAAGTGCAAAGTGCCTATGGAGAGAAAAGGTGGAAAGCAGAGAATGAGGAAAGGGGGTGTAGGGGTGTGGAGCCTCAAAAGAGAGAAGGAGCACTTTCCAAAATTGAAAATGAATAGGTAAATGAATACTAGATTATGCAGAGACTTGCATGTCAGGATAAAGCGTTTTATCCTTGTCCTAAATACAGTGAAAAGTTATTGAAAAGCTTTAAGCAGAGACATGGAGGTGATTGCTGAAGGACAGGCACATGCGCACTGGACAGAGATGACTCTAATTGCAGTGGGGAGAAGGGAAAAGGGACCAGAGAGGAGGGATCACCCCAGTTAGGAGATTTTTCCAGCTTGATTCTCTTTCTGTTACACTGCACATGTGTCAGAAGCTGTCCATCAAAATCCAGGCTCCCATTATTCCTGAGCACATGCCTGGATTTTATTTCACAGATCCCTTTGCAATGATGTGTGACCATATGACCAAGGTTCAGCCAGTGGAATATGAGCAGAAGTGAAATGTGCTGCTTGGAGGGTGTTGCTCAAGACTATACAGCACCTCTTTCCTGTTCTCTCCTCTTCCTTTCTGGGGACTGGACAGCAGGAAGGAGAGTGGCAATCTGAGGACAATAGAACAATTGTCTGCCATGGTTCCTGTATAACCACGTGTCAGGAGACACTTACCAACCTGGATGACTCTTCCAGATTGTCTTATGAGGGGGAAATGAGCTTCCATTTCTTGGGGTGACATCATCTTTGGGTCTGTCTGTTACCGCAATTTAGCCTGCCCTAATTAATGCAAGAATATGTCTGTCTGTGTTTATGCATATGTAACATGTCCCATGTGGGTCAATGTCTATAAACTTGGAAAACAACTAGCAAATTCATTTACTAGGGACCTACTTATAGTTTTATTGCATAAGGTAATTACTTCTTAGTTTATATAAGCCTACAGTCCCTCCTAAACTGACATTCTATGAAATAATTGACTGAGCCATGTAAGTATGATGAATTGTACACTCAGGGATTTCCCATGAGAGGACACACCTTACATACTTTCTACTTCAAATGAGGCTAGTAATTTTTTAAATGTCTGTGGTTGGTTTGGGGCTTCTCTAATATAATAAGAAAAGTATAAACAATGTTCTAAATAATTAATTTGCTAATAGTTTTTCCCTTAGGCCAAGGCTATTTCCTCAGCTGAAATATTCCTTAATTCAATAAAAATTATTTAGCCCCGGCTGGTGTGGCTTAGTGGATTGCGCTGGCCTGCAAACCAAAAGTGGCTGGTTCAATTCCCAGTTGGGGCACATGCCTGGGTTGCGAGCCAGGTTCCCTGGTGTGGGGCGTGTGAGAGGCAACCACACATTGATGTTTCTCTCCCTCTCTTTCTCCCTCCCTTCCCCTCTGTCTAAAAAATAAATAAATAAAATCTTTAAAAGTAAAAATTATTTACCAATTTCCAATCCAAAAATCTGTCTAAGGCCCTTACCAGAGCAAGTATTGATATGTTAGCTACTATTGATATTAACTATATCCAGGTCTAAAATCTAGCATATTATTAGTAGCGTTAATAGTATTAATATAGTATTATTGTATCTTCAATAGTAAATAGTCCCATAGTTTAAATAAAAGGCACAGCCAGATAATAAAGTTGGGAGTAGAAACAGAATTTTGTTTTTCCCTCCCTCAACATGCACAGTCTCTAATGCACTTGCTATCAGTTACCTCCTGAATCAGTGAGAATGCTTTTGGCTATGAACATGTAAAATTCTCAACTCAAAATGGCTCAGAGGTAGGAATCATCAGTGACATGATGGAAAGCCCAGGTTATTTCAGTCTGTGGTGCCCTCCTTAGCATCTTGACTTTCATCCGCAGAGTTGTTCCCTCACACTCCCAAGATAGCAGCTACATTCTCATTAAAGGACCAAAAGCTCCAATAACATTTTTTTTCTTACATTTCTTTTTGAGAACAAGAAAAACTTTTCCCCGAGTCTTCCAGGAGGATCCCTCCTATGGAATTGTGTCACTTGGCCAATCCTAAACCAGACACCAGAAAGGGAAGTAGAATTATCAGGACTGATTTAGGAGAGTCAGGACTCAGCAACTGGATCTGGGGAAAAGCTGAACAAAATTGGGAATCTGGAGAGAGGGGAGGGGGGGAGGACAGTTGCTACTGGGTAGGCAACTGTCATTCTAGACCACCAAGTGATTTTGCCTGCATCACATTTTATACCTTGGAATGTCCTACCTTCTCAGCATTCCTCAATTTTAAACTTAGATCTTCTTTTTCCAAGATTATTCTACTGGTACTGATTATCATCTCTTTGTTGTGGGGCGGCGGGTGTTTTATATTAATACAACTGGGTTTGCGGTAGAAGAAGCTACTGCAATTCCAACATGTCTATGAAAAATAGCTAGAAATTTTTGAAATCAAAGCTTTTCTGCTGTTAAGGTGCTACACTCATATTGAATTACTATTACCATTTCCTTCCTGCTGAAATTTGATGGCATGGCTATCATTCATTCAACCAAGTGTGGCCACTTCAGATTCAGTTAAGCATCTTGATTCAAGGTGTCCTCAAAGGCTCCTTTATTTGTTAGAACTATTTCAAAATAACAGCCAGATGAATCAGCAGAATACCACAAAGCAAAACGTATGGGCCAGGGTTAAACTGAGGAAACAAAACAAACAAAAAGATGAGGCAATTACAATGTTGGGAAATTTTTCATGATATAATATTAACTGAAAAAAAAAAGAGGTAAAAGCTATCACTCACTGTGTGTGTGTTTTGGGGAAAAATTGACAGGGAAAGGAAAGGCATTCAAACAGAATAGGGGGTTATCTCTTAATGGTGAGATCACAGGTGATTTAATTTTTTTTGTATTTTCATACTTCTATATTAACTTTTTAAAATGAGAAATAAATACTGCTTCTGATAGGTTTATGTGACATCCTAGCCTTCAGTGTCATTGCCCTTTTAC